TGTGGGGGGGGGGGGGGGATTTTAAATGACTGCTTACCCTTCTTTTATTAACAAGACCAAAGCCACCAAGCATGTGAAGTGTGCATCCAAAATTAAATGAAACTCACTTAAACATATTACAAAAACACTACTAAAATAAAAAAATATATAATTTTGCAGTTGTGATCTTTTGCTTTAGAGTAAGCAGTATAACTGTGTAAGCTGGACAATATTAAGCTATGAGAATGATGTAGTGTGACTGATGCCAAATAAGAAAATAGGCTGGGATTTAAGACCAGCAGTTAATATTTGAAACACAGAAAAAATGTGCTAGTTTTTCTTGAGTCTCAATATATCTCCTGCCCTGCATGCGCCCCAGATTAATAGTTACACTGCCTCCCTTTCATAGGCTTTCGCACTACTCTTGTTGCCTTGACTACTGGTGTGTCAGGGGACTTCATCCTGATTCATTTTATGATTTCTCTGACTCTACTTCAGAGAGACTACCACAACGCAGCACTGAAAGTGAGAATAATTTTTAGTTTTCCTTCCTTTTACACTGGACTGACTCTTCATCCACCCTCTGCAGCCTTAGTTACCAGAAGTACGCGGTACTTCAGGTTGCCATGCTGCTCAACTCATCCACTGCACTGCAGGCTACACGCACTAAAATGGGACATTTGCTTTCCTTCTGCACATAAACCCTTATTAGTTTGTTTGATTTACATTCTGTTCAAAAGAGGCACAATACAGACGGCATGAAAAATATTCTCATAGGGATGTCATTATCTGAATACGCTTTAGAACATATTCCAATTCATAACTGATATCTCAAAAGCAGGCCTGTGTATGCATATGTAGCGTTCACACTGCTAGTTGTTGTGTATAAGTATCAATCCATGCAGAAGGCAACTAAGGTCACCAGTTATTTGCAGCAATATTTCATAAGGCAACTGTTTAAGACTTTCCCAGAAATTGGCTTGATTTGCTGGGATATTCGTTCTCATTCCTCTTTATTCCTCTTTTGTAATAAGGAAATCACGGGCTTTACTTGTGAGAGTCGAGTTTATCTTTAGGCTTTTAACATATTTCAGGGGTCACTGGAATCTTGTAAAACTGTCTTGCAGTCCACACTCTGTATAATTTTAACTGTCTTTAGTGGAGCACACACTGCTTTCATCATGGAAGCAAGTGTTTAAAGTAATTTAGCCCCAGAGCATCTCAAAACATCAGGGCAGCACTCTTTAGTGTTCCAGTCCAGAATCATCTGGCTTTTTGTGGTTTTGTATGTGTAGGAAGGGAAGAAATAGCAACGCCCATATTTATGTTTGCTCCAGCTTCGCCTGCACACTGAGCTGTCCTGGAAAAGTCCATGTGACCTAGAGCTGAGGAGGTGCTGCCAGTTCCTCATCCTGTTGCATGATAGAGCAGAAAGACAAGAGTCTGCAGCTATGGTGTAGTTAGTCAGTTAAAATGCAGTCAGCACATAATGTTTTCTTTTTTGTTATTCATTTAAAATGGAATATAGGGCTTTTTCAAGCTGATATAATTTACATCCGATTATTTTTAAGTCATGCTAGCAGTGCCTTGTGAGTACGGTATATTAGCGTGTGGACGTTAGCATTAAATATCGGGGCACTGAATTGTCAATCTTACTGGCAAAAAATATGTTTAGCCTCGTTCAAGAAGTGTACAGCACAATTTCTGTCATTGTTCAGCATTCCCAACTTTAATACAATTAATGTGCCAGCTGCTGATTTTATGCATGAACAAGAAAACTAGGGTAAGAAATAAACTATTATGTGTGTGGCTGATCTGGTGTCCTTGATTTCCATTAAGGGGGTGTGGTACTGGCTAGATAAGATTGATAGATAATCCTTTATTGTCATTGTAATGTGTACAACTGTCGCTCATGTTGCCGTGCGACTTTGATTCATAAATGGCAGGAAAATACACCCGTATGACAATTATGAGAAATGAGGGTGCATGTATGTAGAAAAAGACCTCATCCAAATTCACACCACTCTCATTTGTTCTATGCCAGATAGAAGTGTTCTGGTGCCAGTGACACAGGAGCGGTGGGATTTCAATAATTGAAAGAGAGAGAGCATGGGGATAATACATCGCCCTCTCCCATAAATTCATTATAGGTAAGGCAGAGGAGTGGAGGTGTTATTCAGGGGGATTGTTATGTAATTGAACCAGTGGTATTAGTGAAATGACTCGCATTGTGTAACTGGAAATAGTTTGTCTTTCTGTGTGTCATACTTTTTCCATTCTTTCTTCCTCCCTTCCCCCACACATCTCTCTCTCTCTCTCTCTCTCTTTCTCTGTCCCTCCTACTCACACTTTAGCAGATACATGTTGTTAAAGATTTGCTCAGGTTTTGGCCACTTTCCTGCTTAGATTTCCAAAAAAAAGTTGTAGTCAACTGCTTTTAACTTCCCACGTTTACTACTTTGATCTTTCTCTCTGTCTTTCTCTAACATAGGGGCACACACTAAAGGTGACCCTGCTGCTTAGGTTAATGCTAAAGAAGACAGATGCATTTCATTTGTTCATGTGGTATTTGTCAGTAAATGTGTGCTTTTATACAGTTTCTCCTTACTGATGAAAGTTTTAACCGATATTTTCTTCTGATGGGTCAGAAACCTCCCCACTGCCCTTTAACTTAATATCAGCAAGCGTCATAACCTCTTTGTTTACAACACACCTATTTGCCTTTGTTTCATCAGATGTCCCATTTTTATTATTTATTATGCAGTTATGGCTTTATTCTGGATGTGCTGTGTTTATGCATCCCCAGGCATGAATACCCCTGCATACATGAATAAACAGATTTTGCAGAAGATAACCATGGAAACAGGATTTACACAGAAACCAAAGGTGAATAGGCCCAGGTGGCTGAATGCTTCAGTGCTCTGGTTTGCATTGGTATGTTTTAGCCATCTTTTATGGATCTCTTTAATCAGTACATGAACTCCACCTGCTCCAAATTAATTAGAATATTCATTTTCACATCAAGGAGGGATTATGGTCGAGGTGAATGTCTGGCCTTCTCGTTAACAGTCAATCAGTCTGACCTTTTAAAAAGTGGCTTTATTGAGAACTACAAAGCCCCAGGACTCTTGTCCCTCCACTGTGCAGTGAAGGGTCGATAAATTGTGCCAGAGGATTAATACGGTATCCACGGAGACCAAGCCACACCCCTCCCCACCACCACATACAGAGACACACACACACACACACGCCCTACTAACACCTGAGTTGTAATCTTACTTCTGTTTTTGTCCTGTGTATGGACCTTGTCTCAACTTTCTAGATTTTCTCCCTGAACTTGGTTGTCTGAACATCTTAAGCACATTTCATAAAGGAAAAACCGCTGCAAATTTAGAGGAATTATTGACCCCATGAATCATTCATGATATTCACACAAGGATATTAATGAAGGTTGCTGGTCTCCTGTAGGAGCAGAGGAAGGCGAACAGCCCTTGACGTGGAGAGTGAAAGCAGAGGGAGAGTAGAAGGGAAGTGAAAGGAAAAGGGAGAAACGCCAGCTCAGCTACCCGCCTGCCTCGCCGAGCGCTGTGCCATGGGGAAGCAGAACAGCAAACTGCGGCCCGAGGTGCTGAACGACCTGAGAGAAAACACAGAATTCACTGACCACGAGCTGCAGGAGTGGTACCGTGGCTTCCTCAAGGACTGTCCCACTGGCCACCTGACCGTGGAAGAGTTCAAGAAGATCTATGCCAACTTCTTCCCCTATGGAGATGCCTCAAAGTTTGCTGAACATGTCTTCCGCACATTTGACACCAATGGTGATGCCACCATTGATTTCAGGGAGTTTATCATCGCCCTGAGTGTGACGTCTCGTGGTGGCCTGGAGCAGAAGCTGCGCTGGGCTTTCAGCATGTATGACCTGGATGGGAACGGCTACATCAGCCGAGCAGAGATGCTGGAGATAGTTCAGGTGAGGACTACAGGATAGGGGCTCTACATACTGTAGATGCATATGCTCTACATACCAGTCTCTCATCTACTCTGGGTCATGATCAGCCTTGGTCTGCATTCCTTAAATGTGATAATAATGCAGTGCTTAATATTAGCAAATGCTAATTTATGTATCAGGAATGTCAATTTGAAACTCCAGACCTAAAGATACTGAGTTTACCATCAAAAAAGACAAAGAAAAGCAGCAAATCTTCACATCTTGGTTGCTGAGGAATATTTTAAATGACATATGCAAAATATATGCAATTTAACTTGCTGTCTAATAGCTGTTTTTAGGCTTCATGTTAATTTTCAGGTTGGGATTTATAAGATTTTCACTTAACATCCTGGATACAGGCTGCCCTTTTTGTGTGTTATTTTTTTTTCTTATCACTATGGCTATATTTACTCTTCCACGATACTGTGCTGGGAGGCCTGCAGAGCCATATCAATATTGGCTCAGTCAGTTTTGTTTGTGGATACAAATGAATGTGGAAAAAAACATAAACATCAGCATTTTTGTTATTGTAATGTTTCCTGTTTTTCCATCTTTCTCTGTTCAAAGCCAAAGACATTTACAGGATCTAAAATGTAAGATTTCAGAAAATATATTGTAGCCATACATTTTGCCTCACCTGTTCAGTGACATACGGTGAGTCCAACAACTGGGTGAGCTTTAGTTGCCAGAGAACCATCGTTACCATGTAGCAACAGAAAATAGGTCAAAGCATTTAGTCAGTGCATGTAATAAACATGTCATTGGGAGCAGTTATTTTTCATCATGAAGACCTAAAACCTCCCCACAGACAAGAAAACGAATACTCACATAACGGCAAACATTACCCTCCTTTGTAGGCAATTTACAAGATGGTGTCATCAGTGATGAAGATGCCTGAGGATGAGTCAACACCAGAGAAAAGAACAGATAAAATCTTCAGACAGATGGACATTGACAATGATGGTAAAGTGTTTTTTTTGTTTGTTTTATTTCCGTGCATGCTTTGTGGAGAAATATCATAACCAGCTGTCACTATAATTAGACCACCTTACTTTGGTTCCTCTAACAGATAATACGTAGGTAGAGGCTGCCACAGACCAGATGATGTTTTTATAGATACATAATGAGTACGCTGGTCCTCTGTGACTGCACAGTTGCATGTACATAGAGTAAGTGGCTCAGGTACACTGGTTAGGACAAAGGTTATACAGTCATAGATGTAGCATGAAGGATTAGTTGGGTAATAATCCTTGGCATTATACGCTTTATTCCACAGAGCAGTTTGGAGAGTAACAGGAAAAAAAGGAAGATGTTGGAGACAGGGTGATGAATATGATGTCATACAACATCACTGCATAATATAAGTATTTCCCAAGTCAAGTAAGACAGCAGCAGAGCAGGTCAGTTTGCTTTGAAGCAGAACATTCAGAAGGTCAAACTGTGTCTCTCACGTTTTTGTTTTTTTACATCCACCAAAACTCAGTTAACTCGCCTTCCTAATGCACTTTACACAGATGCTGTCTGGCAGGAAGCTTCATCTTCTCTTTGATAGATTAGTCAAAATGTAAATAAAGCCACAGGAATTGTACTTTGTGCAAGACACACTGGGTAAATCTAAATTAAATGTAAAATATTAAAATAGTGCAAGAATACATTCTTGTAAGGAAGGTTTATGATGGTCATAAACACAAATTTTACCAGCCTATACTTTAGCTTTGTGTATTTTTCTTCCTATCTATTCAAATAACGTTATTGCTATTTCTGAGCTTAGCAGAACAGTTGGGAGGCAGCACAGTAAAGCAATTAGTCTGATTCACTGGTTGATTTGACTACTTAATAAATGTAAGTCATTTGCAATTTATTAGTATTTAAGTTGTATGTCAAGCACAAATGTTGAACATGATGCTCATTTAGTTTTACTATAAAAAACATTTAATTTTATATATTTTTGCAAAGTCTTGTATTCGTGTAACTGAATATTGAGTTGTACAAAGTCTTAAGGTATACATTTTAATATTCTTATCATTATTCAGTGTCGGCATTAGTAATATTACTACATAGAATATTTACAGCAGTTATTTAAAAGCTGTACTGCTGCCCATACAACTATCAACACAACTAAAGAAGTCTGAATTTACATGAAAGTCACACAAAAGCATCACCTGCTGGTTGGTGTGACTTGACAGCTAGCAAAGACTGAATCATGGAGTCATAAAAAGTTCATGCTAATTTATTATAATTAATTTAAATGAGTATAAAGTGCCTGTTGGGCAGTTGTGATAATATTTGAAGCGCATGAGCTGAAAAGAAATAGCTAAAGGTTTCTTGCTGCATGATTCACCCCTCCTTCACAAGTCTTGACTGCTGATGACGGAGGTTCTTTTTTTGGTCTGTGCTCCACAGGTCGGTTGTCTTTGGAGGAGTTCATTAAAGGTGCCAAGAGCGACCCGTCCATTGTCCGGCTGCTGCAGTCTGATCAGGGAGCCTCTCGTCAGTACTGAGGACAGAGATGGTGACATACTGTATGTACACGATCCCTCAAACTCACACACATCCAGCTTTTTGCTGTAGATGATAGAGGCTTGGTCATCGTCACACCTTACCAGACAACCCTTTGATTTTTAACACTCCATGTCTTATTGTTTACATTAATACTTGTCTTTTGTCAGTATGGCACGCTGTAGACTATGACTTCTCATTTGAGGTATGCTGTTAATATTTTACTTGTTCTCCATAAGTGAAGTGCCATATCCATATATTTACATGGACTGAATTATATACTTGCAAGTATTATGACTCCTATTATGTTACACCAAGAAGAAACTAATTACATCATTTGATATAATATAAGTGTTCAAATGCTTCTTGTCACTCAGACTAACAGCAGCTTAAGTTGCAGTTCTGAATAAGCTCTGTATGCCTTTGGTACTGCATGCGCTAAATGATATGTGATTTCTGATACTGCAGCAGTTTACGTGAATAAGGAGCACGTGATTGTTTTTATTCCCTTTTATTTTTGTAACAATGTAATTTTCACATAATTGAAATAAAGTCGTGTAAGAAAAATCTACACAAGTCCCACAATATCCCCCCTTGTCCTGGATAGACCTGATGCAAACCCACCACGATTCTTATTCACGGTTTAAAGAAAAAAAAAATACTTTCACACTAGGTCGGACATTTGAAGTGTTACTATGACAAGTCCACGTTATAAAATAGGGGCTTGGGGATGGCTGAAGAGGAGACGATGTTTGAAAAAAAGACTTAAAATGAACAATTGAAATGCCACATCTCAAACCTCCTCCTTGGTAGCTGGCAAGTGCTGTATGTGACTGAAAGATGATGTGAGAAACTGCAGGTGTTTCTCATGTGTCTTTTCTAGAGAATTTCAGTAACTGGGCGACTGGGCCTCCCATTCGTCCACAGGAGAGGGGAGGCGGGTCACGCAGGACCAGACCAAACCAGTCTGGCTCAGATCCTGCCCCATTTAGGCTCATAACTCGTCCTTCCCAAAGTCGTCATCCATGTCTACATCACTTAGGTCATAGTCATCCTCCACTGGGAGCTGAAGCAGACAGGGAGATAAAGAGTTAGCGAAGACAGGGTAAAGTCCATCTGTGTTGATACAAATCTGACTTTCACTGTGTGAGAAAAGAAACGGCTGTTCTTTTCAGAGGGGGTGGGGAGGCACTCCAACTGTATTACACAAGTGTTTCTTGGTATATTCCTGAGTACATGAGTGAGTTGCAGTACAGAAGCAGATGGAGGTTTATTACAAGCCAGACAGACACCAGACAGATTAAGCATCATTGTAACTCTGAACTGGTTGTCTCCAGTATACAATATATTTTGTGGGCTGTCTTGCAATTTGAGATCTAAACTGTAGCACAGTTTAGACATAAGACAGAAATGAAACTTAACCTCGATAAAGAACATATGGACTTTGTTTGCATCCATCAGGAATCTGCAGGTGTTTACTTTTACGAAATGCTACTTAGAGCATCGTTGCTGAAAATGCAGTCGTGTTTAACATTTAGTGGAGCCATTAGTG